AGTTTTTAGTTTTGGATCCCATGGTTTTGATCAAAAAAATAACCAGGCAAATTATTCTATCATTTTTGTACCGATACTTGTACCGCTCTGCCTAATTTCTCCACTTTCAGTGATGTTTTTGAGTGTATCCGTTTCAATTTCGCCGCATTTGGTAGCCAACTCAAAAATCAAATTAGCTAGCTTTATTTGCCAGTTTCAAAGGTCACTGAATCAACCTTATATATTATAACGTTCGATTATGAATACGTTGCTGATGTTCATAAGACTGGGTGGCCGGGTGTTTAAGGCTTTGGACTGCTATTCCAAAACAGTCTGTGTGCGTGGGTTCAAATACCATTTTTATCGAATCGTTTTTCAACGATTTCAGCTTTGTGTTCCATTTGTCCAACCTTATCGTTTCACAAATTTGAAATTTGAGCTGACATTTATTGTTATATTTTGTACCTTCCACAAAAACGCATACTACTATGATAGAGTAGTCCCTCTAAAGTCTTCAATTCACATCGAAATTGAACATTTAAAGATTTAAAATCGTTTAATTACTATGAATAATACATTCAGAAGAAAGTCACATCAAGTTTTTATGCAATTGTTTTTGTTCGTTTATCCTAAAACCTCATATCTTATCGCTTTACCAAGGTGGATAACTTAAAATAACGCAAAAGTTTTGAAGACATAAGTTAAACGAATTGCGATTTTTAAATCCTGAAATAAGTTGAAGCGAGCTTTTTCTTGATTAAAACAAAATAATTATAACAAATTTAATCTGAAAACAAAATTTTTTCAACATATTTTGCTAGACTTTGGAAACGAATAATGTGTACACAAATTAGTTTTCAAAATTTTACATGCTATAAGCATACATGACCTGTCTCTCATAGTTGCTTTCTCAATCATAGTAGTACCAAGGGTGTACACTGGGTGTGATTTCATCTAAATCTCAAATACTGCCCCCAAGATTTAATTTTACTCTCCACCAACTAGATCAGTAATTTGGATTGATGTATTCCAGAAAATTGACCTAATTCAGCAATAAGCTTTGCGTTATGTTTCTAAACGCTCTCAACTCATTAATTCCAATAACGAAAGTTTTGTGGTTCCGAAACTATGATCCCAAAAACTGGTTGCTGGGATCTGTATTCAAAAACTAAAGGCTGACATCCATCGATTTAACCAATGCTTTAAGATTTGTTCTTGGAGTCAGCTGACAATGGTTAAGTCCTGGTTTTGAAATTTCCCATTGCTATAGATGAGAACATTCCAACTCTAGCTTTTAATAGTTCATTTGCAAGTTCTCTAAAAACGAAAATCGGAATGCACATACAGTTTGCGGAGTCCGCTTCCATTTATCGAATTTGCCCACAAATTTTGCGAATTCCCCGTTACATTTGAGAAGACCAGAAAAACTAGCTATAATCGCTTGTTGCTGAATCCGAGACACAAGAAACGTGCGGACAAAGTTTACATTACAGGTAATTGCGCGCGGAATCCACGGAAATTTTGTAGGTGGAATCCACCTAAGTTTTGGAACATGCTTAAAATTTTGTCTCTGGAATCCAGAAACATACGACATAAAGATGTGCGCCTATCCAATGCAGAGTTTGGCCTCGTAATTAACTAATAGAACTAGAAAGCAACTGATATTGGAAAAGAAAATCCATCGTAGAAATTCACCAGGAAAAGTAGATCTTTTTCTGGGAAAAATTTTGAAATTAGTTGACCCTGTTAACAGTTTGTAAACAATCTTTAGCCAAAATTGTTTCGCACTATATAATCATAGAAAATATACATATTTTTTTCATCTTGCACCAAAAATTGTTTGTCAGCATAAAAAAAATTTTGATTTTGTTTTATACCTAGATCTGCAAACTTTTCGTCGTTTTCTAAGCTGTATTTGTATCAAATAATTCTAATCGAAGTTTTGAAAAAAATAATCATTAAATAGTCATAATGGAGAGAAGATCAGGTGCGATGAAAAATAATATCTGAAACGTGGAGATTGTCTGCCATTTAAAATTACCGGTTTTTGGAATTCCATCCCTAAAAAAACCTTCAACTCAAGCAGTTGCTCTGGACTTTCTGGACTAGTCTAAGGTTCTAGGGCTGGTTTTAAAAGATTTTTTTTTTGATAAAAACTGAGCATGGGCTGCCAAAATTGTCAAAAACTTAAGGTTGCCATTCCCGGGCAGAAGTGTTAACTCATAATTAGGCCGAGACGGTCAAATGATGTCCGTTTTTTGATTTCTTCATTCAAACGATGTCAGTCTTTGACTTTTTGAGTCGAACGATGTTTGTTTTCGTCTTTGTTCGGCAATACCGGGCATTGTTTGAGCTTGTTCGACTTTAATCGACTTTGCTTGACTTTACCAGACATTGATCGACTTTGCTCGACCTAAATCAACTTTATCAGACATTGTTCAACTTTGAACGAATTTGTTCGATTTTACCGGGAATTAATCAAACCATCCTAACTTGCGACAAAAATTGACCAAAAAAATTATTTGACAGTTCCTGTCGAATCATGTATTAAAAACCTGAGCCTGGGCAGCAGTAAGAAATAGTACCCGGGTCAAAGTGCTCAATTTATGTTTCAACCGTCTCGACCAAATTTCGGTATGTTTCGATTTTCTTGGTCGAAATCCTGTTCGACTCATGATTCGACCTTGTTCAACCCATGATTCGACCCTGGTCAACCATTAACTGGATAGCTTTCGACACATGATTCGACCCATGATTCGACCCTGTTCGACTCATGAATCGACCCTGTTCGACTATTGATTCGACCCTGTTTGACTCATGACTCAACACTGTTCGACTCATGATTCAACCCTGTTGACTCATGATTCGACCCTGTTCGACTAATGGTTCGACCCTGTTCGACCCATGATTCGACTTTAATCGAATATAGCTTTCGCTCGACCGTCTTTTTTTTGCAACAAAAATTGGGCCTCGTTCGACCATGACGGTCGAACTATGAGTGGAACACTTCAACCCGGGTTAAAAGCAAACCTTATCGAATGCAAAACCTTACAGAAAAAAAAAGATTCAGATTTTTTTAGTCAATAAAAAATAAGTGACTATAGAGAAGAAACGCAGGTTTTGATTTTAGGTTACTTTGTTTCAAAAAATCAGCTTGGACTACATTAACGACAAAACTACGTTTACAATTTTGCATCCAAAAGTCTGTGTCATTATGTCTGTCATAATATGAAGAAACCACCAAAAAAAAAACTTGATTTAAGATTTTTTTTTCCAAAAGTGTCTCATGAAACGACCGCTTGCCCCACTACTAAAACTGTTCTTCCATTTTTGAAAAATTTACATTGTTTAATTGAATTTTCAAACAAATGCATTTCGCGACCATTTATTAGGTGTCCTTTCTGACCTATACAAAAATTATTCAATATATGTCGTTTTGGTAAATTGAAACTACATGCAAAATTTTTTGTTTCTGCAAGGTCATGAGCAACCGTCCAGCTTCTGAAAACCCTAACTTTTTCCTCGGGCGTATGATATTTTTGGGCCTGACAAAATCCGCAGATATTTTTTCATTGAATTAGAATATCAATTTCAAATTTTCTGCTAATTTTGTGGACAACTTTCCGCCTTCTAAAAAACCTAAAAGCTTCTATATGAGCTGAAGTTTTCGATCTGATCAGCTTTTTTTTCCGAAAAAACCATAGAACAGCTGCTGTCTATAAAAATGTTAAGAATGGATCATTGATTCATCTTTGTCTTGCCCTTGTAATGGAATCAGCTCCTAAAAGTTACGCCGGAAAAAACTATGAGTTCAGAAAGTTGTTTCAAAATATTATGCATTGAGCGTAAATTTATAACAAAACTGCTCGTATCAGAGCGAGGCCCTGAATGTTCCGACTGCTTTTTGAGGGTTTATGGAGCAGTAGTAACAAAAAAAAAATTAAATGTAACAAAATAAAATGAAAATTTTTTTCTAAAAATTGAATTTTTTTAAAATGAAAAACATCCCCAAACTCCATATAAAGTACAAAAGGATAGACTTCGCTCCTTGTAACAAATCAATTATAGCAAATAAACTTCTTTCAACCAATTTGGAACGATTTCTAAGACGGATTAAATCTCCGCTTACGCGTTAATAGCGCGAAATATATCGCGAGTTAATTGTCCCAAATCGGCCAAAATGCAATCTTTAAACCCCCATAACTTAACAAAAAATGGTCACACGTGAAACACCTTTTCAAGTTTAAGCTCCGGACAGCAATAGCTTTTGAATGATATAAAAAAGTTCCGTCAGAAATGGCCAGTTAAGAAATCGAAATTTGTCTGAAGAAAAAAAACCCACCCCGAGCACAAATATTCCGTTACTTTCGAATTGAAAGTCGGAACAAAAATACGTTCCCATCTCAGTGTTAACTTTTGAATCGAATTTCAGGAGGTTACGCTGAAAAATGACATTAACGAGCAAGTTTTTCGATCAGTTTGCGCGCACTGTTAAATAGATTTTAGTGTGGGAAAACCTGCATCTCGAAAAATGTAAAGAGTTGACATTTGAGTTCGTTCAGCGACATTACACGGAGAAGGGAAAATGTGCAAACTTTGAACGAGCAACAAAGTTTTTGGCAGCTTGTTGTTAAGCCTGAATGTCCTTCGCAGCAATAAAACCAATCTTCAAAAATATCACAAACAAAAAACCAGACAACAATTTTATCATAAGGATGACTACAATTTTCCCTCAAATTTTTCCCCCATTTATAAGTACGCCGAATTCACTAATTTAATTTTTTTTTGTAACACCTCAAACAAAAAAACCACGACACTAATTGAAAAAAAAAACAGAAAAAAACTTTTTTGTATTTTCTTAAGAAATGTGAGCCGGAAAATTTTGTGCTATTTGCACAGCAGTCAACAATTCTTTTTTAAGATCGCTCTTTTGTTTTTTCTTGATACCAAAAATTTTATCGATAACGGAACTTAATATGGAATGCTTTTGTTTTAACAGGTTTTGAATTATGCGTCTTAGATTGAGGGATTGAAACAAATTTGAAGTGGTTTTCTTCGGGTTAAATACATTTCAACACATAATTCAAACTTCGAGAGATCATAGATTCGTGTGAGTCTATTAAAAAACTAAAGCAGGAGTTGAGTGAACATAACCAAGGTCGGCCACAGTCTCTTCGACATCAGTAGAACCCGGTTGAGTCCCGGTTGGTGTCGCAGCTGCAGCGGACGAATTCGGAGCTGCCGTTGACTCGGTTAGGTTCACCTAAATAATAAATTGGTTTTGCGTAAATCTAAATTCAATCTGATCTCATCAATATTTATCAATATTGAAAAGATATTACGAAATCATCTTTAGGTTTTTTACTTAAGAGTTTATGAGAAGAATGACGCTGGGCTAAAAAGTTAAGTGAAAAAAGGCAATAAATAGTTATCTGCTTTATGGCTGTTCGTAATTAGCTAACAAGATATGGTTACAGATAATGGGCTTACTCTTGTTAATTAAAAGTGTTTTAAATGCATTAGAAAACGCCTGCACCGGATAAGCTTCAGAAGCATCGAATGAAATATCATTTTAAAGTCTTGCAGTCGTTACTCATAATAAAACAGCATCCTAATAAAACATCCAGAAAAGAATTTGACAATTAAGGAAAACGGAAATCTTTGGATCTTTGGTTCAATTTCTAGAAAATAGAGCAAGCGAGCAGGTCAATTATACAGAGATCAGATTTTTAAAATGTGATGTGATGTTTTTATCTTTGTGGTCTGAATTTTTTGTGGATATTGCTGAGCTCTCTGCTCGTTCTAAATGCGGCTAATTTGTTGCTAATGTGCGAATCTAGCAAGATTTCAACTCTGACTCTGGCTGAAGTTTTTAGCCTTAATTGTTTTTATTTTTAAAACTTTTTCCTCATTTGATTATTTACAAGATACTCTTTTTTTTTCTTTTTTTTTCAGCGATACTCGTAAAGAGTATCATCGAAATTTCTTTTTTTTTCATCGATACTCGTGTTGCATTGCTGTAAGCTGAGAAAAGATGAAAAATGACATTGCATAGGTAAAAAAACTAAAACTTAGGCAGAGAAGTTTCAGCTGTGTGAAATCAAAGCTGAAATAGTGATAGAGTCGCTTAAAAGCAGACATAGAAAAAATAGCTGCATTTAGAAGAAGCGTAGCCGGCTGTTGTGCAAGTACCACCGAAAGTTCCGACCACTAAAAAAAAAAACAATTTTCTTACAAATTATGATTTTTTTGAGCGGATCTATGCATATAAATAAAAATGATACTGAGTTTGAAATCTGCATATATTTGGGCTTTTTTTCCAGTTTCTCACTCCTTTATGAAGTTCTACAGTTATGAAAATAAAAAAAATTGAAAAGGCTTTCTCAAGCTGAAATTCGGAAAAACCAAAATGAGGAAATGTGGAACCTGATCTAAACTACATTTTATGATTGGATAAATTAGATATTTTACCAATGTAAAGTATTTAATATTAACCAATCATGATCCATCTGACTAACAATCCACTTATTTGTAAGTGCTGAAATTACTTGTAATTTCAGCACCAGAGAGATTTGAATTTAACTTAGAAATTAGTTGACTCTCCAAGAAGACTTCAGCAGCCGCAATAAACCAGTATACCCTAGATCTATTGAGCCTAGCAGAGACTAGTTAAACAACCTGAGACTAGATAGTATAAGAGTAAGATTAGGATCGGTATTAGACTAAGAAGTTGCACGAATATATCCGGCCGAAAATAAGATAGCGTGACGAGCAGACGGTGTACCCTATCCGAAATTACTCTATGAGTTATACACTTCGGTCCTAACTCATCTGGTGCGACCATAAGTCTCGAACAAGACCTTAATAGCTTAGAATTAACCAAAAATAGATTAGAATTTAGACAAAACATTTTTAAAATGTTACACGACGATAATTTAATTGAAATGTCTCTACGACTCAAGAGATCAAAGCAAATATTCCGAACGATAAGAGAACTACCCGGAATTGCAAGAAGACCTCGAACCAGAGACGACATACGACAAAGTAGAAACTTACCATATAGTTATATGATAGTTCGGCAAAAGCCAACACAAACTTTTGTATTTAGAATACTACTAGCAATGAATTTAGATTTTCATTTGCAAACATAAAATCTTGAAGTCAATCTTCAAAATCATTTCAGGCGCTAAACAAAATTATTAATATACAATAACGATTGATAAAAAGATCTCAGATCGTTTTCCTAAATTCTGCAGTAATATACAAAACATGTTTGAAAAATATTTATTGAAAAATCAAAATAAAAATTAGTAGCATGACAATAAATGGTTAGTAATTATAAATCATCCTGTTGTTCCAGCTTCATCACCTAAACATAACAGCATTCATAAGCTCACTAATATCATAAAAACACTAAATCTTTTCTCTACACAAATTTAAATCATTTTAAACTTAAATTCACTCAAATTTAAAATCAGATCATCAAGGCTTATCCTTGGATCTTAAATCATTTTCTATTTAATTAAATTTAAACCTTGATCATCAAGGCCTCTCCTTGGATCAAAAAGAACAATTTTGTTCTCCTTCACCCACTTAGCTAGTGTCTAACGACCTCAAACGTCGATTCACTATCCAACCCTTTCTAAAAACCCAGGACTAACAGAAATTTTTGAACAAAACTAATCATTCAAATTAGGATAAACAGTGAAGAACTTCGGTTATTCATCCTTCACTTGATCCCCCCTCTTACCAGACCCAGGATAAATCTTAGACTTAGTAAGTTCAAAATAGTATCTAACGAACTACTCGCGTTCTAATTATACCTGAACCTTGTGGATCGATTTACTATTCTCCAACCCTGAACACAATCACTACCCTTAAGTAAGATTAAGTAAGTTAACACCTTAGCTTATACTAGCCACGAGAAAGTATAAAATCATTCTTCGGAATCGATATACTTCTCTCCCCAACCCTGAACAAATAGACCCAGGTTAGGCTAACCAAAAAATCGTAAGGACTAACAGTCTAAGTAATAGAAATCATTTAACAACCTTTTGCATCCGTCATCCTAAACCTTATGTCATTTAAAAACCTAGGAAATAAACAAACAATCGTTTTACACAATTGTGAAATAGACAACAGTAAATACGATCTTGTAATCACACCTCATACACAAACAGTTGGATATATCAGAACAAAACGACAAACACTAAAAAGAAAAATAATAACCAAACAAAGACAAATTACACGAAAAAGATTTTCCAAAAACCGCAACTTATTTTCAGAATCAGAAACCAGCAGTTTAGACGAACTTTATAAATTAAAAGAATCTATAGATAAAAATTGCCCCATTCACGATCAATTATATTTTTCCGACTCAGAAACAACTTCAAATTCATCAAAAAGAGGAAAAAGAAGAATAAAAAAGCAATATAAACACAAACCAGTACATTTATACAATTGGAATCAACCAATTAGACACATTGATAATTACATATTAACAGTCATCAAACGAAAAAATGAGCTCAACACACACCCCAGGTGAAGAAAGTCCAGATGATGATGATATCTTCCCCTTTATCGTAGAATCAACCACTGATAGAGGACAGCATATATTTTGCAAAAATTTACTCTTAAATTTTTTTGAACCCGGAATCAGTCCATGTAAAACAGAGTTCCCAGATGTAAAAATCAAAAGACAAATTATCGATCACTATTTGAAAGATATATGTAACTTAACACAACAATACGGAATCTACTCCATAGAATTCAACTCACCAAACCAGAATCACAACAAATATGTAATTCAAACAGACGACCTTGATTTAGAATTCTCGAAAGTATTCTCAGAATATATAAAAAGCATACAATATCATAACTCACAAAGAGCAAACTCCATATTCACCAATGAAGTTTTTGCAATAATATATAGTTATATCTCGATATTAGAAAACGAAATCCCAATCACAAATGTTTCACCGACAGAAACATCTAAACATATAAGAGTACGACATGAAATCACACTACTCTCTAGTTTTCTAAATATAATTAAAGAAAATTTCACGAAAGATGAAGTTTCACAACATACAAAACACGACTTAAAAAAATTTTGGCATGGTTCATAATAGATTATTTCACACATAATATTGATTCAATTTCACAAGCAAGAAAAAATTTTAGACCTCAAAACTCAAACGATGATACTGCCATCACAGAACAGTCAGACTATGTTTGGGACCCCGAATGGTCTCATCCCGCATTCATAAACTTCCCACAATCAATCTCAAGTCAAGCAATAAGTACAATATCTTATGTAAGAGATTATGTAAGAGTAATACCATTAACCATTGATGCAACACCATTAAACTATAATACATTTTTACCTGATATGCAAAATAATAGTTTAAACTCCACAGTCATACACAATGAAAACCTCAATGGAACTAGAAATCTCACTCAACAAGATATCCAGACACCATCACACTTCATAAATGAAGAAATCGTACACACAACAACTAAACAACAAAGTATTTCACCAATACGTCCAAATTTAACAACACCAAGAAATACAAACCCTTCACAAACACAAGTAACCTTACAATCAACCGTTAAACCTTCGGTTGCCCCAAAATATTCACACATGGATTATCAAACTTACAGACCCATGACAATACCGTCAAAAACACGTAAAACGTTCACTAGAAACAATTTCGCAGAACATAATTATAATTACACACATCCATCAAAAACAAATTATCCCCCACAAAAAAATTTTAATAATTATACAAGATCTCGAAAATGGGATAACCCAATGGCACAAACTAATTCAGTAAACTTTCAAACAAATTTACATCCTTCACAGGATCGTAGTGAAAACTATCCATTTTTTCAACAAAATAAAAATAAGAAACAAACATCTTATCAAATGGATTACTTATCCTCAGATGATGATTTTTTACAACCAGATATATATTTGCACCATATAATCAAGAATATCGTGGAAAAGGAGTACAGAAACCACATACAAATCATAGAATTTTTTCTCCACAACCGATAGATACACAAAATCAACAACCAATTCAACAACAAAACCCAATTAATACACAATATTTTCAACCAATTCAGCAACAAAACCCAATGATCACACACTCGTATCAACCGACACAAATGCAAAATGAAATACCACTCCCATATTATCTTCAACAACACGAAATAACAAGAAATCAACTTTTTCTCAAATGCCAAATGCAGCAGAATCATTAC